TTTTCACAGGGCAACTGGGCGACATATGATTAAGGACCTGCCCTTCAATCGCCCAATGAGATCAGTGAAAAAGCGTCTTTAATCTGGCCGCTGGACGAAATGCAAAGCCCCAGCTTCTAAAGATGGCTCTTCAAAGACAGGCTAGCTACAAAACGCCCGTAATTCTTCTTTATTGGGAGATAAAAGGATTATTTCTACCCAGGCCTTGGCACTGAGCTGGAGTGAAAAGCAGTTAAATTCAGCCGTCACTGTGCATTAATAGCTGGAGGAGCCTAGAGGCAGCAGGCCCCATTACTTTCAGGACAGGAAGCCGCACACTGCCTTAGGCTGGTTTAGTTCAAGTGTGCGTCCCGGGAGGTGGGGGGAATGGGGGGGGGCACCCTGGAAATGAGTCTCCCAGGGGCCAGTTCCTGCTCATCTTCCCCACGTTGCCTGCCCCTTGCAGAGGCACGGGGTATCCATGCTTCTTGTGAGCACCTGAAGAGGGAGCAGTTGTTAGCCTGGATTTTAAAACAAGGCCGAATTGATTCTTGGCCGGAGGCGGGCGCCATCTGTGGACCTATAATAAGTGCAGGTTATTTGTCAGCAAGGAAGCCTACTTAGTGATGTGTTAAAATAAATATTTTTCCTATGTTGGGAACTTTAGGTACTTCAGCTTGATTTTTAAAAATTAAACATTTTTAGGAGTTACGCCTGCTTTCTAAAACTTTTAAAAGTTGAAATTCGTTTTTGATTTCTGATCATTGATGGCTTCTTTGTCTTCAAATATAACCCAGATGTTAATTATTTTTAGCACATGTGTCTTATCTGTTTAACTAAGGGACTTTGGCTACTACATTCAGGGTTTTGTTTTGTTTTTTTGACTCTCTAGCCAACCAGAGGTCACAGCTAGATAAGAGGCGGTAGGACCTAACTCACAGCCTTTTCTGTTCCTCAGCTCCTCAGCTCCTCAGCTCAGGGGGAACCAGGAACCCTAACAGGCCTTAAATAGTTGTGGCAGAGACAGGTTAGCTGTTCATCAAATCCTTTCCTTTTCCCCGCTGAGGGCACACAGCTAGACTACATTTCCCAGCCTCCCTGTCCTCAGGGTGTAGTCATGTGACTAAGTTCTGCCTATAGGAACATGGGACGGATCCATTATATATATATATATATATAGCAGTCCCAGGCCTGACTCAGAAAAACCACTTGAGAAATCCGCCATTCTCTCTACCCGCGACCCTGCCTGCTGCGTGCTGAGGGTTACCTTAATAGTCATCTGTTTTATGTGGCACAATCTTCATCTGATTGAGTTTCTGAATGACTGTGTGGAGCAGTGTCCTTCCCTTTGACCTTTACTATCAACTGGACTTTAATTGAGCAAGAAACAAACTTCTATTTTGTTAGGGCTACTGTATTTTGGTGTTTCTCTGTTATAGCTGCTAATGTTTCCTTAACTAAAGCATACACTGGTACCTCATAACAGTGCTGTCATAAAACCTAACACATGTGAGCAGGCAGCAGGTGGCAAGAAAACTGATATTGGAAGCCGCGACACTAGGGATCCGTTTGGTAGAAGGGTCACGTGTGATGCCTGGAAAGACAGAATATGTGCCTGCTGAGCCTAAAGCCCCAAGCACAAGGGCGGTGTACTAGTCAGGGCTCTCCAGAGAAATAAAACCAATAGGAAACACGTACAGCTATATATGACAACGAAGCTGGCTCTGGTCCCCAAATTAAGCTGTAACATTGAGAAGTTTTAATCAGCAAAGACCCATCATGAATCATTCTTGATGCAAAGAACAGACTAAGGATGTGGCCCCTCAACTACTACTTCTGATGGCCTCAAGCTAGCTTCCCTTAAGCTGAGACACGGATTGAGTGAGGAAGCAAAGAACAAGTCAGACATGAGAATTATACTGCGGAAGACTTGTTGGATATGGTTGCTGGTACATAAAACTGACTGGAAGCAGTTATATCGGAAGCCTACCAAGTTTTTGAGAAATAATAATTGCCAAATAAGCCATGAGCTTTATATCTTTGTCAAGACTTACAACTATCAGACTTTCAAGTTTTTATTAATCCTGTGGGTAGAAAATTGCATCTAATGGAGGTTTAAATGTGTACTTTCCTGATTATTCGTGAGGCTGAGAATCTTACTTTCAGCCAGTACTCTTTTCCCTTCTGTGAAATGCCTTTGTTTTTCTGATTTCTTTTATCTATTTATCTTTTAAAGTCTTTTTAAATTTATTTTTAGGACTTCACCTATTATGGATACTAATCTTTTCTTGGGTACATGTGTTGCATGTAGTTCCTGTCACTTTGTGGTTTGCTTGACTTTTTACATATTAAAAGAGTCAAATTTATCCATCATGTATTTTCTGATTTAAGGGATCTTGTACCTTGTTTAAGAAATCCTTCCTACCCCAGTGTCATAAAGATATCATCCTACATTTTCTTTTAAAGTTTTAAAAAAGACAAACATTCCACACTTACGTCTCTAATTCACCAGGAATTTGTTTTTGTCTGGCAATCGAGGTAAAGATCAAATTTCATTTCTTTCCCTATGATCTTCTGACATATACCAAGTTCTCATATATGTGTAGGTCTGTTTTGGGGCTGTTTTATTTTTTGTTTGTCTACTGTAGTGTGTCAATACCATACCCTATTAACCACTCTGACTTTATGATGAATCTTAATATTTAGTACAGGAAACCTATCTCGTTCCGCTTCTCCAAGAGTGTCTTAGCTAGTCTTGGTTCTTAAAATTCTTGTATATATTTTTAAATTGCCTTGTCAAGCTCAATAAAAGGCCCCATTTCAATTTTGATTGGAACTGTGGATCAGTTGGGGAGAACTGACATCTTTATGCTGTTGCGTCTTACTATCCACGAACATGTTATAAGATTCCTTTATTTATGTCTTTATATTTCTTCATGAAGTTCTTTATGGTTTTTTTTTGCTAAATGTAGTTATTTACACTGAAGCCATTTCACCCACATGTACTGAGGAAGGAAAGTGCTAAGGACAGTTAATGGGCTTATCTTAAATTGATTTAGCTAGAAGTCACTAGGACTTGAATCTAGTTCCTAATCCCCAGCTTTCCACTCCAACTCATTCTACCTCATTTAATTTGAAACATGCAGTCTGGATGTAACATGAATCACATCACGTCTTCCAAGTCATAATGGCCACACACAGTTATATCCAGATATGTTACACTTTGTCTAGCTCATGGGTGCCCCTCCCCCCATCTCCTGCCCCCATGCAATAAATTCTCTATTTTATAGGAACAGATAGATACCCCTGAGCATCAAGAGCATGCTTGTTTATGAAAGACAACAATGCAAAAGTTTGGAAACCTCATCTTCTCTACCTCTCGCCCTCCACACTTGTTTGTGGGAAAGTCTTCCAATCATTTATTAAATAGTTCTTTTTTCTTTTCTTTCTGTCAGTCTTTGCGGGGGAGAAACTAGACATATTTGGCAGTGAGAAGAGTGGCTGTTAAACTAATGATGACTTGAATTTTGCAGCCTGTGTTTACAAAGAGAGCTTCTGTTCACAGTAATCACTGCTGATGTCCCCTTGTTGATGAGCAATAATCCTTGTGTGCTAACACCACTGGAGCTCCTATTTACCAGCCAACTCCAGAGCTGCATAACTCTAATGACAGACAGGAAATCAAGTGAGTTCCATTTATGAATAAGATACAGAGAGTGTGCGGGCTTTTGAGATTACCATCTGCTGCTCATCCCAGAAGGGGGTCACTGATGGTGATATGAGGATATAGACAACTGACAAATAGGGATAATGGAGCTATAAACATGTATTAAAGGATGAAAACTTGTGGTAGCAATTTCCACCTTTGGGGAGGAGTACAATGGCATACTGCATGTCATTGGCAAAACAGATCTCTATGTGGCTTTGTAATATTTCTGAGGCCGGAGGACAGGAACCCAAGAGTACAGGGACTGGAAAAGAGTACAGGAAGATATGGGAGACACTGGAAAAAGACGGGGGGGCCCAACCACAGTGGTGAACAGTTGGTGAGAAAGGGGTGGTGGGAGATACCTCGGGTGGTGGGGTAGTTGACAGAATGTGGAAACCTTCTAACACCTCAAACTGCCAGCAACATTTGCTGTGTTCATTCTTGTGAGTGATGAACTCAAGAAGAATGAGGTAGATTCCATGGCCCATTGGAGCAGGAGCAGAGGGACGAGAAAGTTTTAGGCCTCTGAGTCTCAGGTGTTGTGTGTTGAGGTTTACTGAAACAGAACTGGGGAAGGTTATAGCGGTGATCTCAGGCTTGGTCTGGTGGGAGCTGGAGCGCTGGGACAGTGGGGGAAGCATGGCCCGTACTGTTTAGGGTCCAGGATTGTTCTCTGGAGAAATGGCAGTTTTATGCATTTGTGAACTCAAGCCCAACAGATATGTCTGTCCTCTTGCTGAATGTACTTGTATGGTGATTTCCTTGGACAGTCCTCACTTTTTATCCAAGGGTCCTCCAGGGTGCTTCACAGCCAGGCCTGAGAGACTGGGGCCACCCCGCATCCTGGTTCTAGGGCTGCTTGGAGAGACTCTCTACTGCCATAGCTTAGGCCAAAAGCCCCCCACTCCTCCTTGTCCCAGTGTTTAGGGAGGCCAGGTAGAGAAGGCAGAGCCTTCCCAGGACAGCCTTTGGTGGGTCTGATCTGCCTGCTGGGCCTGATCTAACAGTGCAGGCATGTTACAGCCAGAGCCCAAGCTCCCGCTTGCTGGAGGAAAAACTCTGCAGAGGCCAAATTAGTCAAGAGTTCGGTCACGCAGTTCAGAGGCTTACTTACCTGAACAGTTGGAAATCATCTCACAGCCTTTGCTTTTGATCCAAATGGTTCGGATCACAATGGCATAGATGAAGCTGTGGAAAAGAGCAAAGGTAATGTTAAAATAGCGGGTGGGTCCCTAGTGTGACACAGAGAAAGGACCACACCCACTTCCTGAGTGTGAGGAGTGGAGGGAGGGGTCCCTTAACCATGCCTGCCCTCTATATTTGCTGATTACGGAATCACAGTGAATCGAAACTGAAAGCCACTAGAAAGATCAGTTGGATACAGCTACTTCTGTTTTTAGTGAGGAGGCTAAGACTGATGGAGTGAAATTTCTGTAATATAACCCCTGTGGTTAGCGGTATAGCTGAGATGAGGATCCAAACCCAGGCTTTGGGATCAGAAAGATTTAGATTTGTGACCGGCTCTACTACTTGTTGGTTGTATGGCCTTGACTTTGGACCGTCTTTCCTGTGGCCCCATCATTCCTGCCTTCTGTGTGCATGCCCCTGTGGTCCTCTCCCCATAAGTGTGGCGGGAACTGTGGCTTGCTCCTATTTACCAGCCAACTCCAGAGCTTCGTAACTGTAATGACAGACAGGAAATCAAGTGAGTTCCATTTGTGAATAAGATACAGAGAGTGTGCGGGCTTTTGAGGGTGGAGCCCTCACCAGTCGGATTAGTGCTCTTATAAGAAGACGCCCCAGAGAGCTCTGCTGTCCCTCCCACCATGTGAGGATAGAGAGAGAAGTCCACACCCTGGAAGAGGCCCCCACTGGACCAGGCTGGCACCCTGGTCTCAGACTCCAAGCTCCAGAACGATGAGAAATAAATTTCTGTTCTTTATAAGCTGCCTAGCTGGTGGTATTTTGTTGTAACAACCTGAACAAACTAAGACAGTGAACCTCAGTTGAGACTGTGAAATGGAGTTAATACTATGAACCTCATTTTTTAGAGATAAAAAATGACAGCATTTCAAGTGCCAAGCCCAGGGCTTGAAAATTAGCAAAGGCTCAATAAATATCGTTTTCTGTCCCCTCTTTCTTCCTCAGCTTTCACATGATAGCGTACCTACTCTTTTCCCGTGCCTAACAGGAAATCAGCGTGATAATGACTCAAAAGCATCAGCAAATTTTGTATGTCCCCTTTGATAAATATATGAATTAATACCCTTGTTTCATGTTATTTGACATTTCAAATATATTAAGTATCTTGACTAAAAACTGGGAGAAAGCGTTGGTTTATTTTAAAACTGCACCAAATTCCCTCTTGAGGACCACTGGTTAAAAAATAAAATTAGAGCGCCATAGCAGCTGACAAAGCATTAATTGCTTTTAATGATCTTCAGAATATAACTTAATTAATGACTGTGTTAAAACCCTCTACATCTTACTGCTTTTCCTGTTCTTGTTCAGCTAAACCCTCTGCGTGCTTCAGGGAATCTGGGAGTCTTTTCGGGGCATCCCCGCTCCACATAGGCCTTCTCCGGGGCTATTCTGGAATTTGCATGTCTACATTAAAGAAAAAATGAGAATAAAATGACTAGTGAGTCTATTCTTTAAGCAGCATATTTGTTAGAGTAGGGAAAGTTTGTCCCTATGCAAATGAAATACAAGGAAAGGTTACAATCATCATGATATAACTGTATTACAGTTGCAACCCCAGTGCTTAATGGATCAATAATTCAAATATTTATTGACCACCAACCACATACACAATAAAAATTTAAAAAGTTAATTAAGAAAATTAAATGTGTTAGGGGTTTGGGCCTCAGTTGCCCCACCTCACCTTTAAAGGACCAGCCAGGCAAGTGGAAAGCCAGCAGCAACTTTACTGTTAGCCAGGAAACACCTAGTAAGTAGGGCGCCCCTTTGATTTACTAAGCAAATCAGGCCACTTCTCAGAGTGTAACCGTCACGCATCAGAGAGACCGCTGAATTATATTCATCTCCTCTTTCTTCCTCACATCTTTCTTTGAATTAATCAGCAAGTTCTGTGCATTGTCCCTTCAAAATGTCTCCATTATCTGTGTACCTTCTCCTCCAAGCCTTCTCTATGTCTTCTCTTTTTTAATACATTAATGATTTTTTTTATTGTAAAAAAAGCGCAACACAAAATTTCCCATTTTAAGTATTTTTAAGTGTATAGTTCAGTGACACTAAGAACATTCACACTGTTGTGCAACCATCACCACTGTCCATTTGCAGAGCTTTTTCATCTTCCCAAATTGAAACTTGGTACCCATGAAACACAAAAATATAGACAGCTTCATGAATGTATGCCAATATATGTAACATAATATATATGATTACAAAGGCGCAAAATGTTATGAAGATATTGGGTTGTCGGAAAAGTCATGATGTATTTTTCTATGTTTTTCATTGCAAAAGTGTGTCATGACTTTTCTGACAACCCAATAAAATGTAGGGTGGCATAAGAGTACATAATAGGGACCTTGACCTGTTCTGGGGGTTAGGGAAGCCCTCCCAGAGGAGGTGAAGTTTCAGCAAAGATCTGAAGGACAAAATGTTTTTTTAAATGCAGGGGTGGGGATCATTCGGGTAATGGAACAATATGTGCAAAGGTTTGAGAGAAGGAGGGAGCACTGAACATTTAAAGAGCTTAGAGAAAGCCAGTGGCTGAAGCATGTGTGTAGACAGTTTGTGTGGCCTAAGATGAGGACAGAGCGTGAGGTTAAGGACCAGACCATGAAGGGCCTCGTGCACAGCGTTAGAGCTTTTGGACCTTATCTGGAGACAACAGAAATTCAATGAAGAGCTCTCAGCAGGAAAGTGAAATGATTGATTAACACTTTTTTTCAAAGATCAGGCATTGTTCAGTGTATATAATTTGTTTCTATAGAGACATATATTCTGGGCTAGGAATTGAATAGTCCTGGAAAGTTACACAAGAAATTCTTAACAGTGCTATTTCTGAGAAGTAGGGTGGGGAGGGTAGGAAGAATATTTTTATTTTTTATCTCATACCCTTTTGTATGCTTAGCAATTTCCCAAATAATGACTCTGGCTCTCGTGTGGAGTAGGGACTTAGGAGAGGTATGAGTATATAGGCAGTTATTGCAGTAGACTGAATGAAAGATGGCAGTAATCATGGGAGTGTATACCAGCTCAATTGTCTCTGAATTTTATTCCATCTCTTTGTGAAATGACTACAGTAGCGTGGCCTGATGGGGAGGAGGAAATACGCTCCAAAGGCAACTCAAGCTACTTGGTGCAGGAATCTTAAGATGGGAACAAGGGTCATGTGCCTCACTTCTCACTCCAGTGCCCATCAAGGGGATGGTCTGGAGGGAAGCAGTAGTGTTGGGCCTGCTGTGTGCCAGTGCCTCTGTAAAGTGCTTTACATCCTGGACACATTCATCTCATTGGTTAACACGGTGCTGGGCACTGTATGGTAAATGCCTAATACATACTGAGTGTGGCTTTGGTGTCCTACACATTCTTATTTTATAAGTTCATGTGTGAACAATGGGAAGTAGAGTTTATTGTCCCCATTTTATGGATGACAAAGCGGAGGTCCCATGACTAGGAAGTGTCAGAGGCCAGATTCACATCAAGGTCTGCTGGCCACCAAAGCTCTGATGTGATGTTGCAATGACAAAAGTGGCGATTTGCTCACCATAATAGTCAACCATGAATTGTGCTAAGCCCTCTGTGGAAATTACTTTATTTAATCTCTTGGACAACTTTATATGATTGGTGCTAGTATTGTTCTCATTTTCTAGATGGGAAAGCTTCAGTGACTTGTCTGAGTTTACACAGCTAGAGGCTGGAGAGCTGGACCAAAGCCTACCTGGTCCTCTGACTGAAAAGCCTTGTTAACCAGCACGTCTCTCAGAAAGGAGGGTGTATAGGCTCCTTTGGGGGGGTCTCTTTGAGCTACATATACTATAAATGGTTCTAGTTACTCCCTGAATGCCTTCTCTGATCTCTAGACCAGGTTAGCGCCCCCTGCTGTGGGTCCCGTTGAAACTATTTATCTTACCATCATACTCATCACACTGTGTTATAACTGCTCCCTTAATTGGCTGCCTTCTCTGTTAGACTAGACAGTTTTTGAGCCCAGACATCATGTATGTCTTGTTATTTCTGTATCCCCCTTGGCTGGCGCAGTGTCTGTCAGAGGGTGGGTGTCTTACAGGTATTTCTAGAAATAATGAGTGAATGGAAATTCGCATAATGAGTCAGGGCTCACAGAATGTCTGTGTAGCTGGGCTCAGGGAGATATGAAGACAGAACCAACTTTTTTGGGGGAAAATGTAGGAACAGCTTGATATTTAAGAACCAAGAAAAACGTAAAGTTCTGATACATACGGTCTGTTGGCACCAAGTTTGATAGGCTCCCAGGAGAGAGAAAGTCAAAGGGATGGCCTGTGTAACTGAGTTGGTACCACTGAATTAGCTGAGCTTTCTTAAAGGTCCGTGAAGGAGAGCTCATTCTGATGACTTCGATAGTTTAGATCTATTCACTAATGCCTAAGATCAGCAAGCATGCACCGTTGGGTATCAGTCAGAATGCTTTTTGTGGCTAGTTGCAGAACACTCCCAATTCAAATTAGCCTAAGAAATTAGAATACTTCTTATCTCTCATAATTGCAGCCTCAAAGGGTCGAAGCTGAACTTCAGAAACTTGGGTCCTCTCCATCCCTTTCTTTCTTTTGTTTGTTTGTTTTTTAAATTTCATTGGGGAACAGCCATGGTTATTGGTCACCCATTGCGTTCATGCTACAATGGCATAGTTGGCTCTTTTAAGGAGGGCACAGTGGCCCTTGCGGGGATCAAACTGGCAACCTTGGTGTTAGCACCACGCTCTATCTAACCAACTGAGCTAACCGGTCACCCCCTGCATCCTTTTCTGTTTTCTTTTCAGTATAGATGTCTTTCTAAGTCAGGCTGTAGTCATTCTAGGTGTCAATCTAGAGACAGCACTGTCCAGAAAAAGATGAGAAGCCACCCTCTCCTGGACTTTTTCCTAAGAATGGAAAAATCTTTTCTAAAAGCTCTTCAGAAGACACTCCCGCACATCGTATTGGCTAGAACTGGATCATATGGTCATTCCTGAGCCATTCACA